CACGCACGCACGCACGCACGCACGCACGCACGCACGCACGCACGCACACACACACACACACACACACACATTCACTGAAGGGGAAGTACGGGGTGCCTTCGGCGTGGACTTTCCACGCGTAAAAACTTGTAAACCCATGTTTACAGTAATTACTATTAATAATTAATTAGACAGTGCTCGTAATTAATTAGTGTTTATTGTGTGTTGTTATTTTACAGCGGATACATTCTACGCATAATACAAAAGGAGGCGAAACCTACTGCCTCCACGCATATACTTTTCACGCGAAACGAGGTGCCACATGAGTTTACAACTTTCCACGCGTGGAAAGCCAACGCATGTACTTTGAAGACACATGTCTAGTTTAATAATAGTAGAGTCCCCCGCAGGGGGGCAGAACCTACTTCCTTTTCCCACTTTTCACGCGAGACGAGTTGTCACATGGGTTCGTGGCGTGCTTTACGAGCTTGTTTATATATATATATATATATATATATATATATATATATATATATATTTATACATAATGAAACATTATATATACTCTATTAATTTCCTGAATATACATATTTTATGTCATCTAGTAATATATAAAATGGATCTCCTCCAATTCTTTTTATTGCATATCGCCACAAATATTCACACAGATGATCGACTAACTTATCTTGTTTAATACCACTTCTACTTAAACGAGTTCGTAAAACACGCCACAAACTCATGTGACCGCAGGAGGATAAACGTGCTATTGTTGAATAAATTTTTACAAAGCGATTTTAATGCTTTGTAACTTTTGAACGGATCGTGACCGCCACTTTTTTCAAGGTCAAGGTTACTCAGGGTCATGACCTTGACAACATATGTCAAGGTCAAGGTCATTGGCTATTGGGGTATTTTATTAAAAATATTTAGTACCATGACCGCTAGGCGAATTTGAGAACGCGTCTCCATTACTGCGTAAACAAGAAATAAATATTTATTTTTTATTAAATATTTTTTACTATGATTTTAATATATTATTATATTATAACAATGAAATTGAATGATTATTTATTAATTTTTACTTGAGAAAATTGCAGTCTACTCCAAAAAGCTGCTAAACGACGTTATGCCTCGCTTTTAATTTTTTATAAAATATATACGAAAATTATTAAAATATTTTTTATCATATTTTATTTTTTACAAATAATTTTCAAAATAAAAGCTGACATATCTGTCTAAAATTAGCATACCCAGTTAGCGTAACCCAGTGCGGTGTTTGAGGGTTAAAACAACATTTAAAAAGACTTTGACACTAAACAATATATTATAGATATAAGGCTATTAAGAGTCGACGCAGAATTTAGAGTACGAAAAAGTTTATTCTTGACAGATCAAGAGACATGGTAATGTCTCGCGCCAAGTATACGCGAAGCAAGACCGCACCACCCACACAGGACATATAATATTTAATAGATATCCAATGGATATCTACATATCCATATAACGTCCATATCTATTATGGATATTTAATAAATATCTAATAAATGTAAAAATATTCAGATCTTACAAATAGCCAGCAGGGATATTCATTAGATATCCACGTGTTATCCACATATTCATATCCACAAAATAGCTACCAAAGATATCCACTAGATATCCACACGTTATCCACATATCCATGTCCACAAAATATCTATCACAAATGTTATGTCCTGTGAACTCCACGATTTCCTTTTTTCACGAAAATTTTTATGCGTCTAAGATAGCCCTTAAGATTAAAATAAGTAAACTAAGCACGGACGGTTATCAATCGGCGAGTAAGCTTTGATCTCTTCACTTTCCTTTTTTTTATAACCAAACTACCTATTTGCTTGGGCAACTAAAAGCGACCTTTCAGACGAGTTACTGACAGATGAGGCATACGTGATCAGATTTTCATCAGCTTTGTCTGGCCCATAACTATAAACCCGGCGACACGACGCGCCAAAGGGGCCTTAATCCCAGTTAAAGTTTGATGGAGATCTTTATTGCAAGCGAGCTTTCTAAAATTGCTCGTACAATGTTTCCGACAAACAGAAACAAAGCTTTAGACGTGTCTGTAAATACACGTGGCGGAAGTTTCTGTTTGCATTTAAGATTGAAGAGTATGCATCGTCTGTCAATATAAAAACAGGGTCGCGAGATAAATAAGAAACCCTAATAAAAAAAAAATCGGCGTATTTAAAATATAATGAGAGAAGCAAGAGATTGTGTGTTGGTCGACATCTGTGGTCGTGGTTGACATATTGGTGGTGGTACGGTGGAGCTGCCAAGATGGCGGCGGCGGTACCGTTACCAGCGTCATATGCTATACTATATATCCGTGCGCGCTCTGCGGCGACCGCGTTGCGCCTCAGAGACGGATCAAGCCGCGGCGGAGTGATATTGCGCATGTGTGAGCGTGCCGGTACGTGCGTGCAGCTCGCCGAGCGGGCATTCAGCGTTCGTCCGTCTAAGTGTATAGTCGTGTTTGATTACGCCTTGCGTTCTTTCGAGAATATTCGTTTAACTGAGTTGAGCGTTGATACGCTATTGTAATCATCGCGCTATTCGAGTCTTTGCACGAGAACTGATAGTTGTTAATACTATTGAGCGAGGCTGTTGCGGTACAACTAAAAGGAAAGATACCACGATATCTAACGATCCTCGGACCGAGCAGCGTGAAGGAAGGACGATTGTCGCCATTGAGACGTCACCCGAACGAAGGATGAGTCAGCCATCTTGGCACATTGAGAATGCCCTCATAGGCTTGGTCAAGGAGACCGGCATTTTCCACAGGCAAGAAAGGCAGTCGCTTTAAGGTAACATACATCGTTCTCTGGAAACCATTGATCACCTTGAAGAATCGCTTAGAGCAAGTCGATTAGAGCGGTATGACGAACTCAACGTTCGTTCATAATTACGATCCTTGATTCCAGAGTTCGAGAGAGAGAGAGAACGATGTGAGGAACACGTCCTCCATCACGATAGGCTTGCAATCTTAACGATTGCAAGTAGAACGGGCCCTAGTTACATTAAGATTAACTGAACTCAGTATAATTAATTCACGATAATTTCCTGTGGTTTCAATCCGCGTTTAGAATCATTTGTTCTTGCTGTAAAAGAGATTGAATTCACATTACCGAGCGAGAAACGTGAATCTGCTATTCATGTTAACATTGCGGGACACGTGCGTCGAACGTGAATAGTTCTCGTTGCTGTGAACATAATTTGCGTTATCACGATAAACGTATATTGTGGTTCAATCCCGTGGATATTGAACATTAATTGTCGTTTACGATAAACATATTATCTGCGTATGATTCATTATTACTGATTTGAATTCTCTATTCTTTTTACTGAGTTTGACTATAAATTATTACATTACATATTCGATAACTTGTCTTATTGCTGAAGTTACTGTGTCAATTAATATT